TGAGAATGCACCATCCCATGGGGGATAGTCAATCCCTTCTCCATTTCTCCTTTTTGGATTTTGAGCATGCGTGTACTTGTGATTGATAAAGAGCAAAATTCATGGTAAGTTTTTTTGGGATGATCAAGGCATTTTGCTTGTTGACTTTTTGGAGAGCCAGTGCACAATAACATTTGCTTGTTATGAGAGTGTTTTCAGAAAACTGGCTGAAGCTTTAGCAAAAATGCTCCCAGGAAAGCTTCAGCAGAGAGTTCTTCACCACAACAAGGCTCCTGCTCATTCAACTCATCAAATTGGCAATTTCATGCGTTTTAGTGGGAAATCATTAGGCATCTATCTTAGAGTTATGATTTGGCTCCTTCTTTTTGTTTTCTAGTCTTAAAAAGATCACTAAAGGGATCCCAATTTTCTTCAGTTAATAATGTAAAAAAGACATTATTGACGGAAACCAGCAGTTAGCGTAATGGCTATGTCGCTGGACTCCCATGTAGTCGACTGCGGTTCGTGTCCCGGACCTGGTGACTTAAAACTCACGCCGGGCGCATGTGCGTGCGTGCCCAAGATCGCGAGAGGAGAATGGAGGAGAAGGGATTGCGGCGTGACCATCCCCCCGTGGCGGTGACTTCTCGCTTTCTGTCTCTCTTCTCTGTCTGGCGAGCGCACGTGCCCTATAGCGAAAGCCTCTACAAAAAAAAAAAAAGACATTATTGACATGGTTAAATTCCCAGGAGCCTCAGTTCTTTAGGGATGGACTAAATGTAATCACTGCTTCCATAAGTGTCTTGAACTTGATAGAGCTTATGTTGAGAAATGAAGTTTAAATACTTTTTTCTAAGAATTATTTTTTTAAATTTAAGTTTATTATTTTGTTTATTCATTTATATTGAATAAATATAATCAGAGAAGGATTGAAGGATTGAGAGAGAGAGAGAGAGAGAGAGAGAAAGTGAGAAAGCAAGCTGCCAGGTTCAGGACTTGAACCATGGTCAGCCATGTGGGAGTCCACCCTTAACCACCATGCTATCTGCCAGCCCCCGAAGTTTTTATTTTTAATTTTTATCTGTTAACTACATTTTCCATGAGCTTTTTAAAGCTTATACTTCCTTTTTTTTTTTTTTAATACCTGAGCCAGGGTGTTTTTATTTTATTACTATTATTTATTATTATGATTATTTTTAGTTTGCTAGAGGGCATGTATACATTGCCAGAAAGAGAGAGAGAGAGAGAAAGAGAGAGAGAGAGAAATAATATAAAATAATTTTACTTTTTAGTTGCCAGAGGGTGTGTGTACTTGTCAGAGATAGACAGCAGAGATGGGGCGAGGGATAGAAAAAGATCTCTTAATGGGATGTGGTCCCATTATAATCCCTTCTCCTCTATTTCTCTATCCTGTTGAGCTTCTGGGCACACATGCAGATGCACTTAGCTTGTTTTTCAAGCTACTGGGGCTGGGATTCAAACCGTGGTCAACCAAGTGGGATCTTGTTTCCTTACTCACTAGACTATGGCTGACCTATTGTACTTTAATGGGCCAAATTAATAAATAATTTATTTTGTCATAATACATCATTTAAACATGTTAAGGAAGATTATTTAAAATAATAAGATACTTTAGTACTTTTATATTCAGGAAATCTGTAAAGTTTTCAAAAAATGTAAATTGTGGGACCAGCAGTTGGCGTAAAGGCTATGTCACTGGACTCCCATGTAGTAGACCGCAGTTCGAGTCCCGGACTCGGTGGCTTAAACTCACACCAGGCACATGTGCCTGCCTGCAAGATCCTGAGAGGAGAGTGGAGGAGAAGGGATTGCAGCGTGACCATCCCCCCTGGGGGATGATTTCCTGCTTTCTGTCTCTCTGTCTCTGTCTGTTTTTCTGGCGAGCGCACGTGCCCTATAGCAAAAACCTCTCCAAAAAAAAAAGTAAATTGTAAAATGTAAGATACATCTGAATAACCTTATTTTGAGTGGTCATGTGTTGACTATTTTTAGTTTAGTGGATTATTTTTATTTATTTAATTTTGCCTAAGGGAGTGTGTGCTCACCTCCCGGGGGATTGCCACACTGCAATCCTTTCTTCTTCATCCTCTTCCCGGGATCTTGGCTTTCATGGACATATGCCAGTGTGAGTTTCAAGCCACCAGGTCTGGGACTTGAACTACAGTTGACCCTGTGAGAATTCAAAGGTGTAACCACTATACCACCTACTAGCCCTAGTTAGGTGGATTATTAGTAGATCAATTCAATTATCTATGACTTTTCATCTCATTAGTACATTTTATGAAAATATAAGAAAAACTTATAGGATGAAAAATTAAGTCATTTAATTATGTGCAATACCATATTTTTTGAAAGATGTAAGTGCGTCAGGCAGGTATTTGAAAGTAACAGCTAAAATAAAACATTTGAATAATGTCATTGTTATCTGTTTTGGTCTTTTATTCTAAATATTTGTTGTCTAATATGGTAACCATTAGCCACAACTGGCTTTTTTTTTTTTTTTTTTTGGAGAGGTTTCCGCTATAGGGCGCGTGCGCTCGCCAGACAGCAAGAGACATAGAGCAAAAAAGCGAGAAATCACCCCCCAGGGGGGATGGTCACTCCGCAATCCCTTCTCCTCCATTCTCCTCTCGGGATCTTGGGCACGCATGCACACGTGCCCGGAGTGAGTTTTAAGCCACCGGGTCTGGGATGTGAACCTCGGTCGACTACGTGGGAATCTAGCAACATAGCCATTAGGCTAACTGTTGGTTCCCTGGCTTTTTTTTTTTTTTTTTTAAGACTTTTGCTCTAGGGCACGTATGCTCGCTGGTGAGAAAGAGACAGAGAGGGACAGAGAGAGGGAAATTGAGAAATCACTCCCCAGTGGAAATGGCCATGCTATAGTCCACTCTCTTCCATTCTCTCAGGATTTTGGGCATGCATGCACATGTGCCCAGTATGATTTTCAAGCCACTGGGTCTGGGACTTGAGCTGTGGTTGGCCATGTGGGAATCCAGCTGCATTAACCACCATGTCTCCTGCTAGCCCTATCTACATGTGTCTTTTTATATTTGGGTTTGAATTCATTTAAATGAAATAAAATTGAAAATTCAGTTTCTCAGTCAATATTGCTGTATGTCAGTGGCTCAACAGCCTATGTATGCAATTAATGGCTACGGGGCTAAGTTGTGCAGATAGGGAACATTTCTTTCCATTATTGTAGAAAGTGCTACTGAATCGCATTGTTCAGGTTAGTGAAAATTGCTAAGAAAATTCACCAAATTATATATTCTGTAAGTTGGAGAATGGGGTGGCAAGACATTGGAAACCATTGCTCTCTGAAATTGTTAGGTAGGACCTTTCAAAATAGTTAAATGCTCTGGTAGGGAGGGGTGGGAGTTGACTTTTTAACTTTGCAGTTCTTGTACTGTTCTTATTTGATGTTCACAGCAGCCGGGCCAGGCATGTACTATCATGATACCCCATTTTATAGATGAGATTAACCATATAAATGGAGGAGCTGTAATTCGAACCAAAGTTTGTCAGACTTTCAATCCTGCATTTTTTGGTTTTGTTCCGAACCTCAGAAGTGATGTTGTGTTGATTTTAATCTCCAGTTTGTAGTATGTTGTCATGGTCATGAAAGACCTTTTACTTCCTCCCACCCATAGGCAGCCAGTTTAATGTGTGTTTTTTTTAATTTTTTTTTTTGAGAGGTTTTTGCTATAGGGCGCATGCGCTCGCTAGACAGATAGACAGAGACAGAGAGACAGAAAGCAGGAAATCACCCCCCAGGGGTGGCCACGCCGCAATCCCTTCTCTTCCATTCTCCTCTCGGGATCTTGGGCACACACGCACACGCGCCCAGCGTGAATTTAAGCCACCGGGTCCGGGACTCGAACCGCGGTCGACTACACGGGAGTCCAGCGACATAGCCATTACGCTAACTGCTGGTCCCCGTTTTTTTGTTTTTGTAAGATATGCAGTTGTGGGAGTTTCAAGTTCTTAATTTTACATTTACATAGATGGTATTATATGGGGTTGTTGAACCTATATAATTTAATTTAAGATTTTCCCACTCTACAATACAATTTGATGATTTAAGCATCCAGCTTTTCAACAATTTTTTGAGGAAATGTTTCTATGTTGTGTTTGAATTCTTAACCTTTGTAATCAGAGAAGTCTGAAAGAATCTTGTCTATTCCTCTTTAGTCAGGAAATATTGATAGAAAGATTGTTTATCCCTGAATGCTTGTATATGCTTTTTTACGTTATTTTTGTTTTCTTCATCATTAGCCAACCAGCGATTAGTTCTCAGTATGTCAGAGCATTGTAGGTTTTTTTTTTTTTTTCCAGTGAAATTTTTATTGATCTCGATATCAGTATGTGTGAGCATAGTGGTTTTTTTTTTTTTTTCAGTGAAATTTTTATTATCTAACTACAGATCACATACCGTTGTTAGAAATAACACAGATATGTCTTGTATATTTTGCCCAGGTACAACTGCCTTTTATGTTTCTTTTATGTGGACTCTGGGAAGAGGGCAAGCTTCTTAGAATTGTTAAGTAAGAGTGAAGGTAGAAAGCACTCTCTTATGAATGTAATTCACAAACTTTAGTTTGTAGATTTTGTTTAGCTGCCTTTTTCCTAGTTTTTAGTATGTGCTTCAGATAGTAAAGTTATTATATAGCTGAATTTTAGATAGTATTTCTTGTCTTTTAAAAGATATTTATTTAATTTTATTTATTTATTATTATTTAAATTTGACCAGAGAGAGAGGGAAAGTGAAAAAGCAAGCCGCCAGGTCTAGAATTTGAACCGTGTTCAGCCATGTGGGAATCCAACACCCCAACCACCTTACCTCCTGCCAGTCCCCAGTCCCTATTTATTTTCTTTTTAGCCAATGAATTATTCATACAAATACCGTTGAAAGTAATCTAGCAAATACTTTCATACAAATACTGTGAAATCTTAAATTTTGGTAATGATTAGATATTTCTGTGTGTGTTTTGTTTTAGGTTGTTTCACGAAGAAATCCAGAGGATGTCCAGGAGGTAACATGTTTATTCATATGACGATTATATTTTATATATTTATTAAACAGTTAACCAAGTGCTTTATTGAGGAATTTGCCTGAATTACATGTGTGTCCATTTATATATTTTTATTTTTGTGTGAAGATTGTTTTCAGCTCACAAAAAGTAGATATGTCCTATTTCAGATCTACTAAGTAGATGTTAAGTTAAATGAGTAAGAATTTGCAGAATTGTAGTGCTATTTAATAAGTGATCATTGTTCTCATAACTTGTACACAGAAGATTTAAGGACCTTTATTTAAGGACTTGTTAGTTAAGGACGTTTATTAACCCATTTCAAAATCATGATGCCTGTTTAATAAACAGTAAGTATTTAGTAACTAGTATTAATTTTATAGATTATAATGATGAATCATGGATCTCTACCTGTTTCCTCTATTATACTGAATTGACATTTTGACATCGTAGGAAACTGCTTTAGTATAGGTTTTTTTTTTTTTTACTTATATGATCTGTTTATTAAAAAAGATTTACTAATCTCAGTGAAAACTTTTTAAGTTAGTTCTTTTGCAGATTCTTTTTTGCATTTTTCCTTTCTCTCTAAAATGATACTAGTTTTTTATGTTTTTGCTTAAAATTGTGGAATTCTGTATTTATAGTTGCTTTGTGTATGTTGAGTACCTCTTGGAATCCTTATTCTGGTGCTTGCTTCTTTTACTCTTTCTTGACTTACTTTCATTTTGGTCCCTGGTCATTTTCACCAAGACTAGGACATGTATTGGGGATTTGTTTCTTGCATGAGAATGTTTAAAACAGATGCTGAAAATTTATAGTCCTGATTCTGTAACAGTGTTTTTTTTTTTCGTTTTCCCTAATCGAAATTGGATGTCTTTAGGTGGAAGATGTACTTTCCCTTTAGCCACAGGCCCTACTACTCCTTATTGAACATCCAGTGTGCAGTTGTCCCTCCTTATCTGCAGGGGATACATTCTGAGATCTCCAGGCGTACCTTGGAGAGTACCAGACCCTGTCTATTCTGTTTATATTCTGATAACTGAGTGACTAATGGATGGGTAGCCTGTACATAGTGGGTATCACTGGACAAAGGGTCAATTCAGGTCCAGGGGGAGCAGGATGATGTGAGATTTTATCACACTACTCAGAACAGTGTGCAATTTAAAACTTAGGAATTGTTTGTACAGATTTTCATTTAATATTTTTGTACTAGAGTTGACTGTAGTTAACTGAAATTGTTGAAAGTAGAATCACAGATAAGGGGAGGACTACTCTACTTGGCTTGTGTCATATGTTTAAGGTGATTGGCACTAATTGGTTTGAGTGTGTGACCCCAGGTTTAGTTGATTAAATTTTATACATTACCATTTTGTGTGTGTCTGGTCTGATTTTTGTTTATGATTAGAAAGTTCAATAGAAGACACATTTTAGGAAGATTTCCTGCTATTTTCCTCATGTGTTTTAAAATATCTTGCTCCAACCCCTACCCGCAGTCCCCCAGTCAGGAAGAATATAGTTATATTTTTATTTTGGAAGAAAAATACATATTTATACCATTGAAAGTAATTTGTACCATTGATTAATTATTCTCTCTACTTAAGTGTCAATTGATTAATATGAACTATTCTTTAGATTTCTACTAATTATTTTAAGTTAACAGTCAATACCAAACTAGTTTGCTTTTAAAAGTTACAACTCTGTTGAACTTGAAAATGGGTCATGTTTCCTTTGAATGCGTTGTCTGATTGCTGTGCTGTAGTTTGTAGCTTGATGTTCCCCTTTTCCAGGGAGAATCCTGAACCAACCTATCCATGAACATACTCTCTGCCATTTCCTTAATCCTTTTTTGGGAAAAACTCTTTTATAATAACAACTGGTTGGTGAACCATTCATCAGAAAACTCTTGTAAGTGTCCTTTAGTTAGACAATTGCATGGTCCTTTTTTAGAGATGATAGACATTAAAAAAGAAAAGTCTTCTATCTGGTGGGCTTCTTAAAATATTGAATAACCTTGAAAGTATGACATTGTGTTTTTGTAGTTTCCCATTTCATTTATACATTGGAATTCTCATTTAGGAGAGGATTTCACCACTTACTTGTTTCCATTTCCTTTTTCCTTTTCTTTCTGTTAACTACTTCATTTATTGCTTTACAATGTCAGGCGTCACAAAGGATTCGCAAGGGCTGTTGAGGACTAGTAGAAGTACAGTTAGCTCACCTGTAGAGCTAATACTATGCCATCCTTATAAAACTGGAAAGATTTTGCCCTTTTTACTCTTTATATACCTTGACACATGCTACCAGATTTCAGTGTTCTCTTCCTACGAGTGCTAAAAAGAATATTCACATGAAATAAATAATTTTAAATGATACAACATAACTTTCTTTCTTTCCCTTTTTTATGTTTTTAAAATTTACTCTAAAGTTTTATTTTTATTTATTCATTTTTTTTGGAGAGGTTTTTGCTATAGGGCGCGTGCGCTCGCCAGACAGACAGAAAGCAAGAAATCACCCCCCAGGGGGGGTGGCCACGCCGCAGTCCCTTCTCCTCCATTCTCCTCTCGGGATCTTGGGCACGCACGCACACGTGCCCTGCGTGAGTTTTAAACCACTGGTCCGGGACGCGAACCACAGTCGACATGTGGGAGTCCAGCGACATAGCCATTATGCTAACTGCTGGTCCCATCTAAAGTTTTATTTTTAAGAAGAGCATGGGTGAATCTGCAGGGGGTCAGCAACAGTTATTTTGTAGGCCCCTCATTTAATAGGTTCTCTAGAACTCGGCAGCCTGCAGAAGGGTGAAGAAAGAGATGATGTTGCAGCCCCTCCCCTTTCAAAAATGTAACCTATTGCTGTTTCACTGTAGATAACATATCTCACTGGTAAAATCTGGGAAAAGAAAATTGAGATAGAAGTTTATTGTATCATGTCAGGAATCTCTTAACTTTTAAGTCTTTTCTTAAAATAGTTTTAGAAAATAGGTACACATTCAGAAAAGTATCAAGGCTCTTGAATAGAGAGGAGAGCTGTCCCCATCGTCTAATGGCTACAGGAGCCATGTCCTATATGCCAGCCATGCTTCAAATCCCAGCCCTGTGGTTTGAGAAACACATGGCTGGTGCATGTGCGTGAGTGCCCCAAATCTTGACAAGGATGAACTTGTGGTGGGCAACTCCCCACAGAGAGGTGCTTTTCCCCTTTCTTCGCGTCTCTCTCAGATGAGTGCATGCACCTTCTGGCAATTAATTAAAAAAATGAAAAAAGAAAGAAAAAAGGGAAAAGAAAATTTGTCAACAGTAATGGTACTGATGATAGTTGGAAGAAAAAACAATTCAATAATATTTTTTTCCTTTTTAAAATTTTTAAAATATTTAATCACTGTATATCATTATAGCATACCAAATGAATTTTCTAGCGTGACTATTAAATATTGTGCTTTTCCCCCCCTCTTGATTTCCTCTCTCCCCCCTTCCCATTATCCACCCTCCTCCCACACTTTCTGTAGTAGCCAGAGTTGCTCTCCATGCTTTCCTACCTTCTAGTCTTTCAATTTCTGCCATAGAGAGCAGACATTTGGTATATATTAAGTGGGGACAAACAGTTCTCTCATCATCTGCCTTGCTTTGCTTAGCAGTAGATCTGCCATATTCGTCCACTTTCTATCAGATGCCAGGGTCTCAATGTTTTATATGACTGAGTAGTAATCCATAGCGTATATCTACCACACTGTTTCAATTCTGTATGTTTTAAATATTGGGAGAGTAAATCGAATTGGGCAACTTTTGAAAATACAGGGGTCCAAAGATTTTGCATGTCATTAAGTGTTAATATTGAAAAAGGAAACATTTATTGTATGTAAAAAATATTTAAGGGTTGGGGCCAATAGGTGGCATGATGGTTAAGGGCGCTGAACTCTCATATGACTGACTGAGGTTCAAGTCCCATACCTGGCGGCTTGCTTTCTCACTTTCTTTCTTTCTGGTCAAATTTAAATAAATAAATAAAGTTAAATAAAATAATTCTTTAAAAAATATTTAAGGGCATTTTAAAAAATAATTATTTTATTTAACTTTATTCATTTACTTATTTTAATTTAACCAGAGAGGACAGAACTAGACAGAGAGAGAGAAAGTGAGAAGGTAAGAAGGCAAGCTGGCAGGTCTGGAACTCTAACCAAGGTCGGCCACATGGGAGTCCAACACCCATAACCACCACACCACCTGCCGGCCCCTAAGGGCATGTTTTTAAATGAAAAATTAGGTACTAAATTTATAGTGTCTAGTAGTCACTGACTTACCGAGACATTTTCTCAGACTGACTTTGATGAATAAGAAATTTATGCAGGCTTGATTTAATAATGTAATAGATATTATGGAATTAAATTTTCTGATGGGAAAGAATTGAACATTTATTAGAAAAAATTTTTGCCTGCATTTTAGGGAACTTTTTGTATTCCAAATATGAACATCAACACTTGCTGATGTAATAGACATGTACTTTTGGCCTCTTCCATTTTGAAGATTTCTGGAAATTTCAAAGCTAAAGGAATAAGAAGAAAAAGAGCTATGGATGCAGTGCTCTTAGGTACTTTAGTTTTATAGCCCTAGTGTTGAGAATAAGGTAAATGTGAGTGAATAAATGAGAGCATGGTGAAGAAACAGATTCTCATATTGGGTGTTCTAATTCTTGCTCTGACAGATTATCCATTGGTTTATGTATCACAATACTTGACCTAGAATGGTGATTAAATTAAATTTTTAAAATTTGCCCTTCTGTTACTCTTCCTTTATTTAAAATGATAACACTCTTAATTTTATCTGCCAGTTTGTTTCTGTGATCTATAGTGTTTGCTTACATAGCTGTTATATTCAGCTTATAATAGCTTAACCTTAAGTAATGTCCAGTTCATAATGTGCTTACCTTATGTAAGATTGCTTTCATAAGCCCATCACCATTTCTCCCATTAGTCTTTTCTCAATATAGTACTAGTACTAATAATTTGATACTTTTTTTTTGAAGATTTTTTTTTTTTTTTTTTTTTTTCTGGCCATAGAGTGTGTGCGCTTGCAGGAGAGAGAGAGTGAGTGACACAGAGAAAGGGAAAGTGAGAAATCACCCCCCAGGGGTGAGGCTATGTTGCAATTCTTTCTCTTTCATTATCCTCTTGGGATTTTGGGCATACATACACACACACACACACACACACACACACACACACACACCCGCCCGGTGTGATTTTCAAGCTACCGGGTCCAGGACTGGAACCACAGTCAGCCTTATGGGAATCCAGCACCGCCTGCTGGTCCCAGTACTTTATTTTGGAAGGTAACTTTGGCTCATCTTTCTTTTTTTAATTTAAAAAAATTTATTTTTTTAAAGAGACATTTAATTATTGCGCATTTTTACAGCATGCTAAATGGACTTTCCAGGTGTGAGCACATTGCCTATTAGTCTAGTCAAAGATCTTACCATACACATTATCGTCAATAGAAAATTTTCTGTTTTTGTGTCCATTACATGTTTTGCTTCACCCCTCGATTTCCTCCATCCCGCTCCCCCCATTTTATACACTTACAAAAATATAAAAATAAGTGTTCTTTTCATGACAGATTATGTTCATATATTAAAATTATGCTCATGTGTCTGTGCCTAGCACAGAGTAGGGCTATGAAAATATTAGTATGTGTTTTGGTAATTATTTTTGTTGTTGAGTAAATGAAGAAGCAAAAAAATATTTGAAAATTAAAATCATCTATAATCTCACTGTTCTGAGATATCTTACTTTTAAAATGTTAGTTTGACCTCATCAGTTAGCTCCTCTGTCTTTTACTGGAACTCTTGGTTCTTTATTGTCAGCATTTGTCTCATTTACTTCCATTTTAAAGTAAAATCTTCTCTTCCATGCCAGTGGCCTGTCTCACCGCACACCCGAGCTTCTCAGACACTTTGCACTCAATTCCCTCGTACTTTCTTCTGCTTGGTCCTTCAGTGTTTGAGGTCCCCATCATTCTTTTGTTAGATGCCTTATCTCGTCACAACTCTGAGAATCCTTTCCTGAGTGATTACCACCCATCTGTGATGACTTCTGGAGAAGTAATTCTTGCTTAGTTCTTGCCTCCTAGACCCTACAGCCATCTATCCTACTGAACATAGAACACTTCCAGTTGGCTACCTTGCAAGCACCTAAGTAAAACATGTCTAAAATTGAACTTGCTTCAGAACTGCTGCTGCTTCCTGACTCTTCATTTCAGGAAGTGGCATCATTGTTTTATTCAGTTGTGAAAGCCAAGATTCTAGTATTATGTATTTGGCATCTCTCTTTCCTTTTAAAGTCTTCATCCAGGACCAGCAGTTAGCATAATGGCTGTGTCACTGAACTCCCATGTAGTCAACCACGGTTTGAGTCCTTGACCCGGTGGCTTAAACTCACGCCAGGCACGTGTGCGTGCGTGCCCAGGATCCCGAGAGGAGAATGGAGGAGAAGGGATTGCGGCGTAGCCATCTCCCCTGGGCGGGTGATTTCTCGCTTTCTGTCTCTCTGTCTCTCCCTGACTTTCTGGTGAGTGCACTCACCCTATAGCAAAAACCTCTCCAAAAAAAAAAGAAAAAAGAAAAAGACTTCATCCCCAGCTCCTCTTCTTCCCCTTTAGTTTCATTGGTCTAATGACCACTTCCCCTCAGGACTCTTACCTCATATCACACTTTCTGTGTAGCCATTTTAGGTCCACGAGGCTAATTTAGATGCTCCTTCTATACCATTCTTGGGTTATCCTTCTCAGCATTTATCATGCCATCTTACGATGTATTTAGTGAGTTGGCTTGTTCTTCCTAACTAGACTGTGAACTCCTATAAGGCAGGGGCTGTGTTTCTCACCTCTTCATTCCTTGTGACAAAACGGTGCCTAGCCCAGAGTAGGGCCATGATAGTCTTTTATTTTTTTTCGACCATTTTTGTTTTTGAGTTAATAAGTAAAAGAAAAACATCAGGATGAAGCAGTTTGTTTAAATTAATTCATATTATAGTCTGTCTAGCCTCCCAGGATATCTACATTAAAAACAAGAAACTTGGGACCAGCAGATGGCATAGTGCTTATGTCATTGGAGTCCCACATTGCCAACCACTGTTCAAGTCCTGGAACTGGTGGCTTCAGATTCACACTGGGTGCCTTTGTGTTTATGCCCAAGAGCCCAGGAGGAGAAGGGAGAAGGGATTGCATGGCCATCCCTGCTGGGGGAGGGTGATTTCTCACTGTGTCTGTCTCTGCCTCTCCTGTGAGTGCATGTGCCCTAAGGCAAAAACAAAATAAAATAAAACTCTAAACACCCCCCCCCAAAGGAAAAAAAAACACCCACAAAACGAGACGTTTCTTTATCAAGGGAGAAGTTTCAGGAATATGACAGTTTGGTGAAAAATGTCACACATGCACAGACTAGGTGTTTTTTTTTAAGACTCTTAAATCAAACCTGGTTACCTGCCTAGTCTAATATTTGATCATTAGTATTATACCCTGAGATACATGGAAAAAAATTAGAGTTTGTTAGAAGTGGTGTTAGAAGTGATAAAGCTTCTCGGAAGCTAAAGATCCCACTCTACCAAGTAGTAGGATTTAAAATTCAATTTTACCCTATTTAGTGGGGCCTGAAAGGGTCAAATCCTTTATCTTTATTAGGCATTTTTTTTTTTATTTTTAATTTTTCTAATTTAAAGTTAAACAGTAGTTCAGACCAATAAAGGTAAATACACTTTTACATGTTGTCTAATCTATATAATTGTTATTTTGTTTTTAAAATACACTGGTTTTGGGGCTGGCGGGTGGCATGGTAGTTGAAGGAGTAGATTCTCACATGGCCAACTGTGGTTCGTGTCCTGGACCTGGTGGCTTGCTTTCTCCTTTCCCTTTCTTTCTCTGGTCAAATTAAAAAAAAAAAAAAAAGAATTAAATAAATAAATAGTTATTCAAAAAAAGATATACTGGTTTCAGTGATACTCCAATTAGGATTTACCTTGTTCCTAGAAATCTTAGTACTAGTTAAAATCGAGATTTATGAAAAAATTTATACATATATAAAGTCATGTTAATCACTTGGCTACACAGCCATTTCTTCTCCACTATTAGTTTATTTTGAGTATATTATTTATATACAAAAATAGCCTACAGTAGTTATTTTGTATTTATAAACATTTTTTTTTGAGACAGAATAGATGTTTTGACATCTGTCTCATGCCCAGACCAATAATAATTGGTTTTTGGAGATTAATTGATACTATATGTAGTGTGAGTATGAATAAAACAGTGTGTGTTTAAAATAAAACTAAGACATCAAAACAGAATAGCTTGAGAAAGAATTGCTACTTTATATTTTTAATGCAAATCTTTGTTAATTTCAAGCCAGTAATCAAATTGGTTAGAACATCTGTTTGCTTTTGCATGGCAATTTTGAATACTTTAATGACAAAATTATTTGTTGTTCAGATATCTGGACCTAAATGGTTTTGCTATGAGATACATATTTTATTTTTTCTCTCTGTAGATAATTGTATGGAAAAGATACAGTGATTTTAAGAAACTACACAAAGAACTATGGCATATTCACAAAAACTTATTCCGACATTCAGAGTTGTTTCCTCCATTTGCCAAAGGAATAGTGTTTGGTAAGTGAATATTTTGAAATTGTAATGTTTACAAAAGTGATGATTAGCTAATTATGTGTGTTGGCTGAATCCTGACATGTTACATAACTCTGAAGTCAAAAGCCTCTGAGATGTTCATGTGTTCAGCAAGTGCTTAAAGCTTTTTTTTTTTCATGTTCTTGATATAGTTTCATTTAAAAAAAACCTGTGGGAGCATAAGAAAAGATGATGTTAAGTTATTCTTCTAGTTTTGAAATTCTCTGAATTTTTTGTTTTTTAGCAAGAATGTGTTTTGTATGTTTCTTTGACACCTTTCTCATAACAGGAATGGTGGTTGTTTTAGGCACCTTCTCCACCACCTCACAAAATGGGGTGGTGCTCTGGGTATGTTATTAGTGAGTCACAAGGTTTAGATTCTTTTTTTGGAGAGGTTTTCACTATAGGGTGCGTGTGCTCGCCAGACAGACAGAGAGAGACAGAGAGACAGAAAGCGAGAAATCACCCCCCACAGGGGATGGCAACGCCGCAGCCCCTTCTCCTCCATTCTCCTCTCGGGATCTTGGGCATGCACGCACACACGCCCGGCGTGAGTTCTAAGTCACTGGGTCCGGGACGCGAACCGCAGTTGACTATGAGGGAGTCTAGCGACATAGCCATTACGCTAACTGCTGGTTCCCTCAAGGTTTAGATTTTTGAGACCAAAAACCTATAGCGAAAACCTCTCCAAAAAAAACCCCCCCAAAAAAACCAAAAAAAAAACCCCAGGACACCTGGTTTCTTATACCTATTTCTGCATTCAGTCAATTGTGATAGATTGTTTTGGATCAAGAATATGAAAAAAAAAATTAGGGTCACCAGTAATGCAGTTGAAAAGGAGGGTAGTATTTTTATGCCTGTTTCAGATTATTAAAGGTACTCTTTTATAACCAAAACTTAACAAGGGATACTTTCTTTTGTATATAAGCTAGAGGGCCTGTGTACCCATCAGAGAAAGACGAAGAGAGGAAGGGGAAGAGAGGGCAAGCACTCCCAAATGGGGAATGGTTACACCACAGTCCCTTCTCTTTTCTCTATCCTGGTGGGATTTTGGGCACTCACACACATGCATCCCATGTGTTCCTATCCATGAACTATTTATACTTTATTACGATAAAGTCCATTGCTCTTAGATTTGAATGAATCTTTTTTTTTTTTTTTATAAGAATTACTTAATTTTGGGACCAGCAGATGGCGTAGTGGTTATGTTGCTGGACTCCTACATAGTCAACTGTGGTTCGAATCCCAGACTTGGCAGCTTGAAACTTATGCTGGGCACATGTGCATGTACGTCAAAAATCCTGAGAGGAGAATGGAGGAGACCATCCCCCTGGTGACTCATTTCTCACTTTCTGTTTCTTTGTCTCTCCAGTGAGTGCATGTGCCCTATAGCAAAAATTTCTCTAAAAAAAAATCACTCAAGAAAAGGAATTATTGGGAACCGGCAGTTAGCATAATGGCTATGTTGCTGGACTCCCACGTAGTCGACCGCGGTTCGTGTCCCGGACCCAGTGGCTTAAAACTCATGCCGGGCGTGTGTGCGTGCGTGCCCAAGATCCCGAGAGGAGAATGGAGGAGAAGGGGCTGCGGCATGGCCATCCCCCCCGGGGGTGATTTCTCGCTTTCTGTCTCTCTGTCTGTCTGGCGAGCACACGCGCCCTATAGCAAAAACCTCTTTAAAAAAAAAAGCATACTAGTACTAGGTTTGTACAGTGACAAAATCACCTATTGATGCATTTCTCTTCCTGTTAAGTGGTGCGTGATTATATTTTTAAATTAAAGAAAACAAACATTGCAAAGCAATCTGTTCAGTAAGATCTCATTTATGTAAATAGACACATGTGATTGTGTGAAGACATTCCTAACTACGTTTGTAGAAAGGGAGTGAGAGTAGCGATATTTTTATTTTTTGCTTTGTGCTTTCTGTAATTTGATTATACATATGTATCTTTGACTTTGATATTGGAGTCTCTTTTTAAAATTTTTTTTAAGAATTATTTTAACTTTATTATTATTCTCTAATTTGACCAAAGAGAGAGAGGGCAAGTAAGAAAGGAAGCCACCAGGTCTGGGTCTTGAACCATGGCTGGCCATGTGGGAGTCCAGCGCCTTTAACCACCATGCCATCTGCCAGCCCTGATATTGGATTCTTAAACAATATATTTGTCACTGAGTGAAAAGTGGCTTCTAAATTGGTTGAAGTTCTTAGCTATTGACTGTTTCTAATAGGTTATCTTCAACTTCTCTCCATATCTTTTCATATTACAGAGTGAAAGTTTCCTATTAATCTTAGTAAGTAAGCAATTTATCTCTTTTAATAAACAGTGCAATCCATTTGTAATACTTGATATCTGTAGTGAACCCTGCAGGCAGCATCTGGGTTGTGTGGAGAGAATTGTTTGTTAATCGTATATCTTGCAAGCTTTTCTCCCATTTTTAGTAAGTAAACCTCAGTAGCAAAGGAGTCTTATTTAATCTGCAGAATCTTCAGAGATGTAGTTACTTTCTGGTGGTATGGTGAAAAAACATAACTTAGCAGTCGGGTAGATCTGCACCCACATCTTCTGTCCATTATTTACTAACGGTGTACTCTTGTGCTAATTAACGTCCGAGTCTGGTTTTCCTATTGGTAAGATAGGGATCACACCTTACTGTTCAGAGGGTTATTATCTGTAGTGTGTGTAGTTCCTCCTTTAATTTGAACTGCATCACTGTGAAGTTTCCGGTTAGTCTTTGAGGCTTTTAGTTTTCCATGCGTCTTTACTTTTTTCTTTGTTACGCCATAGGATGCATGCTCATGAGAGGAAGAGAATGAACTTCAGTGGGCCCTGGTCACACTGCAATCCTTTCCCCTCCAGCTCTCCTTCCCATGAAGATCCTGGGCTCATGTGCTTGACATATTTCCTCCATGGCCAGGATTCAAATCCTGTCCAGCCATGTGGGATCCAGCTTCCTCTGCTCAGGGACATGTTTAAGGCTGAGATAGTTGTTGTCCCCTCCCAGTTCTAAATCTTATCAATATAGCACTTAACTCATTTTTAAAAATTTTACAAATATGCACAGTTTTCAGATTTATAGAAACCTCTTCCCTCAAATGAACACCTACTGCCTTTTTCCCAAGTTCATTGATGATTAACATTTTGCCCCATTATCTGAATTTCTCTTGCTGTGTGTATCTCACTCTCTGTCATTTTTTTTCTGAACCATTTGACATTTCACCCCTACTTCCAATGTTTCCCTAGGGACCATATATTGTATCACACCCATAAAATTTAACATTGATACAGTGTTATGAAATAGTCTGTTTTCAAATTTCCCTAGTTGTTTTAAAAATGTCACTTTTGGAAGGATCCATAATCATATATTAGCTAGGTTTTTTTTTTTTTTTCCTTTAGTATAGTCCTTATGCATGTTTTGGGGTTGGGTAGGTCTTTTATGACAGACATTTTAAGTGCGTCTAGGATGGTTGTTTTGTAGAAGGTTTCACAATCTGGATCTGTCTCATGGTTTGATCATTTGTTTCTTTGTTTGTTATATCTATCCTTGGACTATGATTTCCTGTGAGAAGGAGACCTGACCTGGTATAATTTTTTAGTCGACCTTATTGTTTCTGAGTTTGCTTGGCATTCCCAGCTAGGCTTGAATGTAGACGAAAACGCGAACGTCGTTCAGGTTATAAAAGTGGTTATCCTGGCTACCTTGAGCGACTCCTGCTTTTCTTATAATCCACAGTTTTAGCCTTCCTTTGTTTTTCCTGCCTTATAGTAAGATTTATTATAATAAAAACTGTAGAACTGTAGAATTAGATCTATTAGGTTCATAGAGTCATAGATATCCTCATTTCCTAGTAGCATCCAATTGGGCAAAGCTCTGCTTACTTGAGCCTTTCCCAGAAGTACCCAACACAAGTTCAAACCTCTCAGTTTTGCTTGGTGAAATGCCCTGGGGTTCCCAGTGAGGTGTATTCTTCTTAGTTGCAAGGAATAATAAATCTAACTTATTTAACTGGGGAGTGTTCTTGGTGCTGTCTGGCCAGAGAGAATTTACATCTGAGACTCTTGGCCTCTTTCTTTCATTTTACTACATGAATGAATTATTGATAGAGCTAAGAGTTGTTAACTCTTAGCTTGTCTGGCTAGTTTTATACTGGTCGTTTTAGCTCCGTGTAACTAGTTCTTGATTATGGGTATTTGCATTTTTAAAAAGTTGTAAACTCTGTTATCTAGGAGTTGTTCTAAATAGTAGTTAGAAAAAAAAGAGACATAGAGAGAAACAACCATAAAGGCAACTTATGAATCGGAGAGAGGCTTTATTTCTAGTGATTAACCATAGGATGCTTGAATTTAATTTCTTCCCCACAGCCCTTTTTAAAAAAAATTATTTAATTTAATTTTATTCATTGTTATTATTTTATTTCACTTTTTAAAAGTTGACCAGAGAGAGAGAGGGTAAGTGAGAAAGCAAGCTGCCGAGCCTGGGACTTGAACCATGGTCCGCCATGTGGGAGTCCAGCTGTCTTAACCACCGTGTTACCTGCCAGCCTCCTCCCTACAGCTTTTCATAAACAAACCATTATTGAGTAATTGGGGATGGGGGAGTGGCTCATATATATTATTCACATCCACATACTATACATAATACTGTACAATAAACCTTTTCAAGAACATTTGTTGTGCATTTTTTAACTTACCTATAATTTTTCTACTCTGTTCATAGGAAAATAAACATTGGCACTGTGAATGAAAATTTAAGGCAGCAATAAGAGAAGCACCTGTTTGTGATTTCTCATGTTGTGTCTGCCTTTCAAGTAAGAATTTGATTATATTAAAGTATAAACAACTAGAAAATAGTTATAAGGGTGTTGTCTACCATTAAGATGACTACTAAATCTTACTACTTTTTTTTTTTTTTTACATGTAAAAATTGGTAATTGTTTTATTAGGGTCGGTACTTACTGCATTAAAATTCATCTGCATACTTTTATTGATATTGCCACTGCAGTTTTTTTCCTGTTGTCATTCTGTAATATCTTAGGAACAAAGAAGTGAGCATGTTCTTTCATTAGAGTATTTGTTCTGATGATGGGGTTCAGTATAATTGGACCTTTTAATGCGGAATCTTTTATTTTTGGTTGTACTCCACTCAGAAAAAATGTTGCAATTTATCTTTATTCAAGTTCAGTGGAATAGAAATGTGTAGATCAATAGAAGGACAACAAAGATGTGCTTTTGACATAAGTAGTCCATCACTGAAGTATTTTGATGTAGCGTCATAAGCGGATAGGGTGAGTTGCACTAGGATTAAAGCTCTTATATTTTTATGTGTTAGTTTCTGGTAGAAGGAAGATCTTTTTAGGATATAATTACGTTAAAATTTCTTAACAAGTATTAATGCATTTCAAGATGATATCAGGTGGTCTTCTGGGTTGAAGTGAAAAATGTGTGTATTTTCTGGATTTCTAAGATCATAGATTTTAAAAAAATATCACCAATTCATAGACACTGGAACTTACTTTTTGGTTTAAAGTAGAAAATATTGGGCTATCGTCAGAAGCATCAGTTCATGTGTTTTTATTTAGGCAAAAGAAGTACTAATGAGCATCAAATCTGTTTGGCAGTAGATTTTCCCCAAGATTGAATAGTTTAGATTATCTTCAGGCCAGATAAATTGTTCTACTTACTGGGGCTCTTGGAAGTTTGTTTTTAGATAGTATTATTGATAGGATGGTAGTGCCATTTTAGATGTCCTGTTGTCACGGGGAGTATTGAGTTTAATTGTTGCATATGAACTGAAGACTAATGGAAAAAAAATTTGGCATAATGGATTATATAAAGTTTGGTTACTTATAATAAAACTTAAACAAGAGAGAAACCAATTCATTTGTCAGGACTCAATGTCTGGTGGTAGCCTCAGGCATGGAAGCAGTTAGGAATCCATGCGCTTGTCTTATTTCTGAGTCATTTTTCATCTTCCACATCATGGTTGTTCCTGAAGGGGGGAAGGGGCAAATAAGTAAAGGAGAGAGCGTGTATATCACCTGTCTATTAAAGAAACTTTCAGGAAGGTACAACATAATTTTATGTGTTATTGGCCAGAACTTAGTTCATGTCCACATGTCCATACCTAGCTGCAAGGTAGCTGCAGTTTTTTGTGGGGGTGGGAGTGGGATGGGGTGGGGGGAGGGCACAGGGGTTGGCTACCATGGACCCATATGAACTGAAGACTAATGGAAAAAAAATTTGGCATAATGGATTATATAAAGTTTGGTTACTTATAATAAAACTTAAACAAGAGAGAAACCAATTCATTTGTCAGGACTCAATGTCTGGTGGTAGCCTCAGGCATGGAAGCAGTTAGGAATCCATGCGCTTGTCTTATTTCTGAGTCATTTTTCATCTTCCACATCATGGTTGTTCCTGAAGGGGGGAAGGGGCAAATAAGTAAAGGAGAGAGCGTGTATATCACCTGTCTATTAAAGAAACTTTCAGGAAGGTACAACATAATTTTATGTGTTATTGGCCAGAACTTAGTTCATGTCCACATGTCCATACCTAGCTGCAAGGTAGCTGCAGTTTTTTGTGGGGGTGGGAGTGGGATGGGGTGGGGGGAGGGCACAGGGGTTGGGGACCATGTACCCAGTTAAAAATTTGTGATTATCTTACTAAGGAAAGGGAAACAATAGCAACTGGCAGCCTATTCCATAGTTAATAAGCAGTATACTGGATGTTAGGAATTCTCTAATTTTTTTAACAATATATAATAATCATACATATTTGTGGAGGTATAGTATGATTTTTCAGTACATGAATGCAGTCTGTATCCATCATAAAAAACCAATAGGATAGTAGGATAGGCCAGCCAAGTGGTGTGGTGGTTAAGGCAGCTGGATCCCACATGGCTGACTGTGCAGTTCTAGTCCTGAACCTGGTGGCTTGAAAAACCTCCTGGGCATATGTGTGTGTGTGCCCCCAAAATCCTGAGAGGAGAATGAATGAGAGGATTGTGGCATAGTCATCCCTTGCTAGGAGGTACTTTTTTGACTCTTTCTCTCTGGTGAGTGTCCATGTCCTATAGTAAAATTCAGAAAACAAAACAAAGAAAGAACCATCCCTCCCCCCCAAAAAATCAGGATAATTAGTATACCTATCATATGAACCATTTGTCATTGTGTTGGGAATGGAATCTTCTAAATGATCCCCACTTGCTTGCTAACCTTTATTAGGCCCAGGGCTCTTCCAGGATGCTGATAAATATTATAGACCCTCTCCTTAGAAAAATGTATCCGTGTATGTATATGTATGAATTGAATTTTGTAGAACTGCTGTCTCTGAAACTCTTCCATGAAGGATGACTTAAGAAGTTGTTTATGACCCACTATAAAGATTGCCTGTTAGAATGTTCTACTATAAGGTTCCAGCAGGTGGTGTGGTGGGTAAGGTGGTGAACTTCCACATGACCAACCTTGGTTCAAGTCCTGGACTTGGCGGCTTGCTTTTTCACTCTGTCTCTGTCTCTGGTGAGTGTATGTGCCTGGTAGCAAATAAAAAAAAAAAAGATAATGATAAATGAAATTAAATAAATAATTCTTTAAAGAAAGTAATGTTCCACCATAAGACAGTTGTGTTTTTTATAGTTTTTCCAATTTTTCACTCTTCACTCATACAATCAAGAGGTTTGCTACCATACTCTGTATGCTGGTCACTATGATAGCACTTAAAGGTTCAAAAACATCATGATAGTCATGTTTTTGATTTTATTTTATTTGTTAATATAGGGCACATCCCCTTGATGGAGAAACACACACACACACACACACACACACACACACATACACACACGCAGAGAGATAGAGAGAGAGAGAGAGAGACAGAAAATGAGAACGCACCCCTCAGAGGGGATGACCATGCTGCAGTCCCTTCCTCTCCATCCTGCTTTTGGGATTTTGGGCATGCTCACATGCATGCACACAAGCCCAGCAGGGTTTTCAGGCCATCAAGTCTGGGATTCAAACAGTGTAGTTGACCATATGGGATCCAGCTGTCTCAACCATCATGCCACCTGGCTAGCCCTATAGTCATCTATTAAATGCTTAATATGTGCCTGCCATGGAACTGGGAGCCTTATGTGCATTATCTATTCTCTCCGTTTTACAAATGAAGAAATAATCTGCCTAAGATTTTATAGTGAGTGATAGAACTAGTATTTGACACCCAGTTCAAGTCTAAAATCTTTTAGTTATCATGAAATAGACACTTTGCCATAAACATGAGACACATTGAGTGAAGGTATTTAAGTGGCTCTATTTTGAATTTTTGCCATGAGTTGAATAACTGGGAATCGCTTTGTGCCTCAGTTTTCAGTTAACACCTTGCAAAGCCACTTAAAATGTTTAAGTACGTAATTATGTTGTTCTTTTGAATTTATATTTTTAAAATCTATATTGCAATCAGTATTATACATGGCATATGACAAATGCTAACCAGTAATCTAAGAGTAATGTGAAATGATCGTATTTGAAAATACCTTATCAACATTCAAATTGTATATATCATTAAAAAAATTCTATGCAAACCACCTTTCAATCACCTTGTAAAGCAGAACTCACCGGTGCTGTGTGTGCTCTTTTTTCTCACAAGCATGCTGTCATGTACTCTGACAGCACCACACATGGAATTTAGCATAAAAGCTTTTTGCTTCAAGCTGAGGTTTTTGACCCCACTGATAATACAGATGTTCTCATAATTTCCTCTCTTCAGCCCCTTTATAAATCAAAAAGAGTAGAAATGGGAAAATTATATGAGTAATTACAGTATTAAATTACTATAGAAACCCATTTGAGTTCTTTAAAATTCTCTTTTCAACTTTCGTTTCAATCGCCAGCTTCTTAAATGATAAGTTTCTTACATTGACAAGCCTAGATTATGAATGCAACATTTATTTATCAGTTGACATCTCTACTTCTTGTTTTATTAGGAACATAATTTTCTTTTCTAGTGAGAGTATTGCTGATTCTAATGTAGAGACGAGGTTTGACTTTACGAGTTTGTATAAGCACAGCAAATAGGCATTGGTAGGCCTGCTGCTACTTTCTGATCTGTGGACACAGGTTCTCATACACCAGTGCTTGGTCATCTTTCTAAATGTTGAATATCATTGAATTCCAGGGCGATTTGATGAAACTGTTATTGAAGAGAGAAGACAGTGTGCTGAAGACCTACTGCAGTTCTCTGCCAATATTCCTGCTCTTTTCAACAGTAAACAGCTTGAAGATTTTTTCAAGGTTTGGTAGTCTTTCTGAAATATTTGTTTTATCTTTTAATACTATTTTTCTGATTTGTGGTTGAGTAAAATAGAGAATGTCATTATTTCATTATCCAGTTAAAGAAGAAGTGCATAGCTAAGTAACAATTTCTATGGCATATCTTCTACTTTAGTATAAAGATATATATGCTTTTTTATTCATAGATTTTTAAAAGATACAAAAAGCATAGAGATTATCCAATTCAGTTTGTCATAATTGAAATACATTAAAAATACTAGCCAGGGGTTGGCAGGTGGTGTGGTTAAGGGCGCTGGACTCCCACATGGCTAACTATGGTCCAAGGACTGGACCTGGCGGCTTGCCTTCTTATTTTCCCTCTCCCTCTCTCTCTCAATTGCTCTCTCTCTCTAGTCAAATTAAAATAAATAAATAAATAAAGTTAAATAAAATAATTCTCTTAAAAAAATACTAGATACCATGAAACTTCAGTAATATTCACTTTGTGAGGTGTCTTACAGTGGAAGACTTTTCCCTGGGATTTAAATCATTACAAGTCCATGTTAAATTCATTATAGTCACGTTGATCTGTGTAAGATATAACAAAATACTTACTGCCTAATTATATAGAGAGGTGGCCAGTGTGAGTATTTTCTGAGTTCTCATGTGTACCTTTTTTTTTTTTTTTTTGAGAGAGAGGTTTTTGCTCTAGGGCATGTGTGCTTGCTAGAGAGAGAGGCAGAGACAGAAAGTGAAAAGTGAGAAATCACCCCCTGGGGGATGGCTTTGCTACAATTCCTTGTCCTCTGTTCTCTCGGGATTTTAGGCACACATGCACGTGCACATGCACCTGGTGCGTGGTCTGGCCTCTTGGTCTGGGACTCTTAACTGCAGTCGACTACATGGGAGTCCAGCAGTGTAATCATTACGCCATCTGCTGGTCCCATGTGTTTAACTTTCTTGACATGTAATACTTTCATCCTAAGTTCTTTATCATTTTTAATGAATACTTTTGAAATTTATTTATTTATTTTGAGAGAGTTTTGCTGTAGGGCATATGTGCTCACTAGAGAGATAGAAACAGAGACAGAAAGTGAGAAAGCACCTCCTAGGGGGCCTGGCCACACTGCAGTCCCTTCTCCTCCATTTTCCTCTTGGGATTTTGGGCACATAAACACATGTGCCTGCCATGAGTTTCAAGTGGCTAGGTCCAGGACTTGAACTGTGGTTGGCCACATGAGAGTCCAGCACCTTAATCACCATGCTACCTGCTGGCCCCCTTTTCTAATTTATTTTGACCTGAACCTATACAGATTGTCAGTTGGTAGCATTGTCTTGACCACATTTTTTTTGTTTGTTTGTTTAAATAATCTTTTAGAAAAAAAGCTAAGTAATGGTGCTCTACATGTTTTTTTCTTCATCAACTAAAAATCTACTCATTTGTATATGTTTGATTTCTTAGGATATATAACCAGTAAGATATATTGAGTATTGAGATATTTAATTTTCCTGATACTAGGGGATCTACACAGGGAATTTATTTTTTATGATTTATTTTAGTTTCTTAAAGAAAGTTGATCTTCCAAAAGACATCGTAGACTCATAACTTAGGGTAATAGAAGTAGAAATGGTGTTGTAGCTGTGGTGGTGCAGTGGTAGGACAGAGCTGCGTGATACCAGAGCTGCACGGGAGGCCTGGATTCAGATTCCAGGTTGACTTCAACATGTGGGAAGTGCCTGTGTGTGTGTGCCAGTGAGCCTGGCTGACCGGGAGGCTAGTGAGACCTTGAACATGGCATGGTGAGACCCTGTCAAAGGTTCCAGCCCCAACTCCTCCACTGCCCCAAACTTCTCTTGATCATGAAATAAATAAATAAATAAAGTGAAACTAAAAAAAAGATAATAGAGAAGACAGAATTTCATCATGTCATGGTCCTCCTGCCTCATCTGCATGAGCTCCTGGGACTACAGGTACACACCATACCTGGCTCCTTCAGATGGGCTGGGAATCATCATGGGCCTCCCACATGGTATCAGCCTGTCAAGTAGCAGCAACCACTGCATGTTACTGTAGCTGGGTCAGTGATAATAAGATTTTTGATGATTAACTTTGTTGCTTAATTTTTTACTACTCTGCAGATTGGCTGAGATCATATTTTGGCTTCTGCTTATGCAGATTATTATGTAGATTATTATGATAAAAGTCTGAGTCCAATTGATAAAGTATTTAGCTTTTTGCAATTCTCTTTTATAGTTGTTTCTAAGTGGTAGGAGATCTATGCTTATAGAAAAAAGTATTATTTAGCAAGAAGAATATAGCTTTATAGAAATCATGAAAGGCAGTTACTTACTTGTTCATTCAGTTTCTTTTGGATCTGGGATTCCTAATTGTAAGTGCTTTTGGAAAACACTTGGTTTTAGATTTTTCTATGTATAATATTTATATTTTGGTATAAATATATATGTGTTTGGTAAGTCACATTTGCTAGCAGCAAATGCTCTCAGTTTGTCTGGAAATGTTTTAATTTTCCCTTTTTTTAAAGATGAATTTTGGTTGATATGTAGAATTACTGATTGATATTTTTCTTTTAACAATTTGAATATGCTGTTCCATTGCCTTCTGTCCTCCATTGGTTTTGGTAAGAAATCAACTGTTAATTTACCATGATTTCACTGTGTGAATCTTTCTCTATTGTTGCTTTCAAACTTTTGCCTTTGTTTTTCAAAACTGTGAATTCTTGTGTCTAGGGGTTACTTTCCTTGTGTTCAGCATACATGAGGTTTATTTATCTCCTCATGTATGTAGACCAGTGATTTTTGTCAAATTTTGGAAGTTTGTTCTCATTTCTTCAAGTTTCTTCCTGCCTGCTTGTCTTGTCTCTACCCGATATTCTTACCATATATAATTGGATATGTTAATATTGCCCCAGAGATATCTCTGATTCTGTTTATTTTTCTTGTCTTTTTAAAAATTTCCTGATTTCTTTATATTATATAGTTTCTGTTAATCTTCAAGTTCATTCCTCTGTTGCTGAACTCCTCTAGCTAATTTTTATTTTTTTAAAGAATTATTTAGTTTATCTTTATTGTTATTATTATTTTCTAATTTGAGCAGAGAGAGATGGGGGAAGGGTAGAGTGAGAAAGCAAGCCTCCTGGTCTAGGACCCAAACCAAGCTTGGCTGTGTAGGAATCTAGTGCTTTAACCACCATGCCATGTGCCAGCCCTGTCCTATAGTGAATTTTTAATTTTATTACTGCACTTTTTCAATTTTAGAATTTTCATCTTATTCTTTTAAAAATTGAGATATATGGACCAGCATGTGGTGTGGAGTTAAGGTGGCTGGATCCCACATGACTGACTCCACCATTTTAGTCCTGGACCTGGTGGCTTGGAAATCATGCCAGACACATGTGTATGCATGCCCAAAATCTCCACAGGAGAATAGGAGAGAGGGAATTGTGATGTGGCCTTCTCCCCGTGGGGGTCATTTCTCACTTTTCCTCTTTCTCTCTGTCTCCTTCCGGCGAGTACATGTTCCATAGCAAAAAGTAAACTTTTTAAAAAATTGAGATACACATCGTATAACATAAAATTTACCTTTTAATTTTATTCTCATTTATTTTTCTAATTTGCCATAGGACATGTGCATTCTCCAGAGAGAGACAGAGAGAAAGAGGGAATGTGAGAGAACACCCTCCAGGGGGTTGGCCATGCCTCAATCTCTTCTCCATTCTTCTCTTGGGAGTTTGAGCACACATGCACACATGCCCGGCATGATTTGCAGGCCTCTAGGTCCAAGATTCAAACTGGGGGGATGACCACGTGGGATCCAGCTGCTTTAATGACCACACCATCAGTTGGCCTGCATGTATTTATTTGTTTTATCATTTTGGTCAACTTCTGACAGATGTCTCTAGTCTTTTTTGGGAAAACATTTGTTGATTTACTCATTCTGCCATACCCAAAGTCCTTTCCCCTAAATTGACTTTTAATTAACAAGAACTTGTATTTTTATTTATTTATTTAATTTTAGAAACATTTTTGCCATAGGGCACATTCACTTACTGGAGAGACAGAGAGAGACAAAGAGAGAAGGGGAAAGTGAGAAATCACGCCCCTGGGGGGATGGCCATGCTACAATTCCTTCTCCTCCATTCTCCTCTTAGGATTTTGGGCATGCACGCACATGTGCCTGGTGTAAATTTGAGGCCACTGGGTTTGAGACTCAAACTGTAGTCAGAAGTACCATGGGAATATAGTGCCTTAACCACTATGCCATCAGCTGGCTCCAACAAAAATTTTAAGTGCTATGTAATCTGAAATATTGTGCCGTGTACTCAGAAGCACGCCAAAAGTTACTAAAACATGTGTGTTCATTAAAGAGAGACCCAGAGAGAGAGAGAAAGCAAGAAAGTACCCTCTCCCCTTTGGGGCATGGTCATGCTTCAGTCCCTTGCATCTCTCCCTTCTTTTGGGATTTTTTGGCATGTATGCACATGCACCTGGCATGTTTCTCAAGCCAGTGGGTCTGGGACTTGAACTGCATGACTGTCCATTTGGGATCCAGCTGGCTTAACTACTAGTCCCATTACGCTAACTGCTGGTTCCCGACCTGGCATGTTTCTCAAGCCAGTGGGTCTGGGACTTGAACTGCATGACTGTCCATTTGGGATCCAGCTGGCTTAACTACTAGTCCACTGGTTGGCCCCCAGAGTTATTATTTCTCAACTAAAAAATATATAATTGTGCTATATTTTCATACTATATCTTTCTAGTTCTTTTTTGTTATTTTGTTTCATTAAAGATTTGTTGTTTTTTTATTGTGTATAATATTGTTTGTTAAAATAAATAGAAAATCTCTAGGATTATGAGTTAAAATATTTTGTATTTATTTTTGCCTTAAAGCAGATGTTATATCAGCTAATAATAATGAACAGTTTTTGAGTGTTTATATTGTTCTGAATGTTTTACACATATCCTTTTTTTTTTTGTAGAGGTTTTTGCTATAGGGTGCATGCACTCACCAGAAAGACAAAGTTTTCACATTTTCTTTTTTTTTTTTTTTGTAGAGGTTTTTGCTATAGGGTGCATGCACTCACCAGAAAGACAAAGAGAAAAACAGAGAGACAGAAAGCAAGAAGTTACCCCCTAGGGGGGATGGCCACGCCATAATCCCTTCTCCATTCTCCTCTCGGGATCTTGGGCATGTACGCATATGCACCAAGCATGAGTTTTAGCCACCCGGTCCGGGACTCGAACCACAGTCCGACTACATGAGAGTCCAGCGACACAGCCATTATGCTAACTGCTGGTTCCATACATGTATCTTTTTTTTTAAATGGGAATTTTTTTTTAAGAATTATTTTTATTTAGATTTATTTATTTATTTATTTAAATTTGACCAGAGAAGGACAGAGTGAGAGGGAGAGAGAGGGAAAGTGAGAAAGCAAGCAGCCAGGTCCGAAACTCAAACTGCGGTTGGACATGTGGGAGTCCAGCATCCTTAACCACCACACTACCTGCCGTCCTTGTTTTACATGTGTCTTTTACTTTTTCACTTTGCATGAAATCTTTAATCCTCACAACTCCTTGAGTTAGTTATAGGCATTATTTCCATTTTACAGGTAGGTAACTTACAGTCATATACCTAGTAGAAAAAGAATGGTATTTTTTTGTAAGGGATATAAATAATGTCATCTTTGTTTTTAGAAATTCTCTGGGACACATGAAAATTTTCTTTTATTTAGGTGTTTAAGGGATGGCTTAGTCTAGATAGAAAAAAATTCAGAGATAAACTATAATCTGAGTATTTTAATGGAGGATAGAAAGAAGTAAAAAATTCTTTCTCCTAAGGAGAATGAGCCTTTTAAAAAGTTCAGTTTACATAACACTCTGTGTGATGTTTGTTAATTTGAGAGGAAGTATTTCAGATTTCTGTTCCTTAAAGATAAACTTCCGATTGGGTAAAGTTAGTCATTGAGTTAGTTCTTGTGTGAAGGAAGAGAGAAAATGGGGACTGGATTTCTCCTGCATTTTGCTATCTCGGTGTGGCATTTCAGGGCAAACAACTTTTGGTAGAAGATAAGGAAGAATGGTAAGGAGCAGATGAGTTACTATTTTAATCATTTATAATTATTGAAGGAGTGTAAGCTCTTATAGCTGTGAAGGGAGCATTCAGTCCACAAAGCTCAGCTCAGTTCACTACCTCCATTTATCTGGTATACTGTTTGTTAAACTAGGAAAATAGAAAACTCTAGTTGCACTTAGAATAAGAGAAAATATTTTTGAGGTTTGAATTTGTGAACTTAAACATTGAGTTAAAGTAATGGTCACATGGAAAAATCAGCTTTATATTTATTTGTTAATAAATATAAAATTGTCTTAAAAAATTGTCTCTTTACTAAAAATATCTTAAGTTTCTTTAGTTTTATAGACATTGTTTCAGGTGGTTCTCAAACTTAAATGGCTTCTTTATCACCTGAGGTGCCATGTGATATGTTGTAATTTATAATTTGATAAAGTTCAGTGACTTCCTGATAGGTTTCATCAGTTATCATGAATTAAAATGATCAGTTCCTAAAGATAATGAACAATAATCATTAGGTGGTGGGGTCTTTGTTCTGCATTTTCTTTCTTTCCCCTCCCTCCCTCCCTTCCTTCCTTCCTTCCTTCCTTCTCTCTCTTTTTAAAAAAGTTTTTGTCATAGTGTATGTGCACTCACCAGAGTGAGACAGAGAGGGAAGGTGAAAAGTCATCCCCTGTGGATGGCCACACCACAGTCCCTTCTCCTCTTGGTATTTTGGGCATGCACTCACATTTGCCCAGAGTGATTTTCAGGCTGCCCAATCTGAGACTCCAACCACTATTGGCTACGTGGAAGTCCAGCACCATAGCCACTACACTCCTTGCTCGCTCCTCTGCATTTTCTTCTTCTTTTTTTAATTTAATATTTTATTTATTCATTCATTTATTTTAATTTGGTCAGAGAGCCAGAGAGAGAGAGAGAGAAAGAGAATGTGAGAAAGCAAGCCACCAGGTCCAGGACTGGAACTGTGGTTGACTGTGTGGGAGTGTTCAGTGCCTTAACCACCACACCACCTGCTGGTTTCCTTTGCATTTTCTTTATAGGTACTTTTGACAGATTTGAAATAACATACTTTTATAAAAAGCTACATATTATTATAAACATAGGGATATTCCTGTAGTTATATAGAACATTTTTAGAGCAATTTAGGTTTACAGAAAAGTTGTGTAGAAAGTGGTTTTTCCATATCTGTTCTTTCTACCCACAACTCCCAGTTTCCCTTGTTATTAACATTTTGCATTGGCATGGTACATTTATTACAATCAATGAACGAATATCGATACACCTATTGAGTTCTTTAAAGCAGTTGTAATCTAGTTCAGTAGATTAATGGTTTCTGTAATCCTTATAGATACTTGGTTAAGATTATTATTTATTTATTTTAGATTTTTAAATATTCTTCATGACAGTAAATGCAATTGCTCTGATCTTTACAGGGTGGAATAATTAATGATGGTTCTGAATTAATTGGACCTGCTGAAGCTTATTCAGATTCTCTCATTGATACCTTTCCTGAGTGTAGTACAGAAGGTAAGAGATTTTCATATTTTTGCATTTCAAAGGCTTTGATTGCAGGAGAATATAAATTATTACTGTATTGCAAAAAAGTGTGGATGTTCAATGAAAGAATGTAAAATAAATAAATAAATAAATAAATAAATGTGCATGGGATTTGAGGGTATTTAATTAATTAATTTATTTAAAAAGTTTTTTTTTGCTATAGGGTGTTGTGTGCTCACACTAGAGAGAGAGAGAAAACAAGAGGTCAATCCCGAGGGGAGATTACCATGCTGCAGCTGCAGTCCCTTCTCATCCACTCTCCTCTTGGGATTCTGGGCACACATGTACTCTTGCCTGGCATGATTTTCAAGCTGCCAGGTCCAAGATTCGAACTGCACAGCTGGCCATGTAAGATTCAGTGCCTTAACCCCCATGCCACCTGCTGGCCCTTATTTCACTGATTGTAATTTTTTTTTTTTTTTTGCTTTAATAGGATACTTTTTTCCCTTTACATTTTATAGTTTGATGATATCGCATATTGGCAGCTTTTTTTATTTCTTAGTGATAAATAGTGATCTATCTTGTAACTAATGGCTTAGATTTGATAGAATTTGGTATAATTAGTTGTTCAGAATTTGTATTGTCTAGTAGAAGAATGCCTTACCAGTTTATTTAACAGTATCTTTTAGACAGTTTCAAGATTGGCTTTAAAAATTTAGTCATTTACCCAGAAAAAAGAAACCTAAGCAGTTGTATGTTTTTGATGTGTTTACTAACATGAGGTTTAAACCAAAGCAATTTTTGTACTTTTAATCACTTTAATTCAAGAATGCTTAATCCTTGTTTTATCCCTCTATTAAGCCATACTCGAATCTGTATGAAGATTTAAATATGTACATTTTTGCTTTTGGATTTCCATAACTAGCTTTCTTTCAGGGAAGATTATAGAATTAAAACAAAAAAGACAGAGATTTGGGGTTGGGGTAGAGAGGGTCTTTAAAAAGAAAATAGATAATTTGATTTGTTTAAGGTGGCTTAGGCTTGGTTTATTAAAGGTAAAATAATAGGCTAAATATATCCTGATCTCGTTCATGAGTGAGTGTTAGTGGTGGAGGAAGAGGCTTTATGACTGACAAAGGAGGTAGCCGTAATTTCACTGAACTGCTGTTTTTGTGAGGGTATGCGGCGATGTCGTGCATGAGCAGTCACACTGTCATAGATCTGTTGTAGCAATTGTCCATCTTGATTTGGTAAGTGCAGCAAGTTTCTCTCTATTAATTTTATTTTCTTTTGGGGTTACCCACACTGGAAATAATTAGCTTTTATTCTTTTTCACTGTTTTTCATTGACTTAAAAGAAAACTTTATTAATTTAAGATACATGTTATGTGTAATGCATGGGGGCCACATGGCTAAGACTCCCCATTGAGTGCCTCAAAATGTTTTACTCCATCTTTTTTTTTTTTTAATTTATTTTTAAAATTGTTTATAGGTTGTGGGCATTCGCCTGAGAGAGACAAAATGAGAGTGAACGTAAGACATCACCCCTTGGGGGGATGGCCACACTACTATCTCCTCTTCTCTGTTCCCCTCTGAGGACTTTAGGAATACATGCACATGTGCCTGGTGTGTTTTCCAAGCTGCTGGGTTGGAGACTAGAACTGAGCAGTAGGCCATGTGGAATCAGTGATTTCACTATGTCATTTCCTGGCCCAACTCCATCGTGATTCAGCCAGAGCCATAGAAAAATATTGTTGATAGCTATTGTACTGTACTATCATGTTTATTGGGGAAAAAATGCGTATTCTATGTGTTTGTAATCAGAGATCCTTGCTAGAGTTTGGAAAATTTAACCCCTGCTTGTGATCCCAGTGTGATTCTAATTCTAGAACTAGTTTCCTTGGAAAGTGACTTTGCTGGGATAGCCTTATCTGTTTTTTGCTTCAGATTTTCTGCTTCTAAGAAAGAAGAGTACGTGTTTCTATCGTAAGGTGGACTAGTCCTGGGTCATCTAATAAGGAATAGGCAAGTTAGAGTTTAAAGAGCATGTTCTGTGAGGAATATAGTTCTTAGAAATGCAGAATGTTTCTTTTCTCTCTCTTTTTATTTTCTGGTATAGGAATTAAAGGTTGCATGATGTAGGAGTTGTTAAATTCTTTTGATATTCATAATAAGCCTTTATTACTAGGTAGCAGTCAATCATGGTAAAAGAAGGCTGTCTCAGGAACCTATTTTAATATAATGTAGGGCTGGCCCATGGCCTGGTGGTTAAGGAATCTGGAACCCACATGGCCAACCACGTGGTTCAAGTTCCAGACTTGTGGCTTGACAAACACGCGGGGCGCATGTGCATGGGTGCCCAAAATCCCATAAAGAAGAAAAGGATTGTGGTGTGAGCACCGCTGCTCCCTTGGGGAGTGCTTTCTCCCTCTCCCTCTTTCTCTGTCTTTCTCTAGCGAGTGCACATCCTGTCTGGAAAAATGATCGTATAAGTGATTATATGTATAATATGTGTATACCCTATATATTATATAATCTTATTATAATACATATCACTTATGAAATATATATTCTGTAAATATGAAATTATATATATAATATACATAAAAGATGCAGTCATAGACGAGGGTGGAGCAGAAGTTTTTCATCCTTTACTATAGTCCAGGAGAGAAGGGGAGGGACATTACCATTGGGAATAACCTTTCTGGTGTTCTGAATACTGAGGGCTGTTCATGATGAGCAGGTGGCTGTGTCAGTGTTGAAGAGACACCGAAAGCTAGGGTGAGCATGTACTTTTTGTCCAGACTTGGACACCTCTGAGAATGAGAGATGATGGTCTTGATAATTACATCAAGACTGCAGCATCACGCAGGAAGGCCTCGGGCAAACTGGGCTGCCTGGGTGACCTTACCTGAAGCAGTTTTTTCAGACTTTACCTCTGAAGTTTCAAAAAGATGTTTCTTCTTTGGAAGGATTTATCTTTACTTTTATGAGAGAAACTGAGGGCAACATTTCTGTTAAAAACATAAAGTGAACTATAACACCTAAAAGTAATATTGACATTTTATGCTGTCAGTGCAGTTTAGTTTTTAAACTACATTATCGTCTCTGAAATGATCACACTGTGATCCATGAAGAACGGAAAACATGGAACTGGAAAAGCTGTTAATGGTTATGTTTTATTCTCTCCTCCCTTTCAAAGCCGTTATGCCTGGCTAATTAAGCCTGCTGAAAGACACCTCGTTGACAAATACAGATAGATCAGAGTGTCAGACAGCTTGCAGATTTATTGTTATTTGAGATGGAAAATGGCTTTTAAATACCATGAGATTGTCTGGCATGGAGGAGAGTGGAAGATTTACTTCGTACCTAAAGGTCTGCAAACCTGGGAGAGGACCAAGGGAGAGGGCATCCAGTAGCAAAGAGCAGGGAAGCTGGCAGCCGGCAGCCGGCCAGCCCCACAGACATGCAGTGAGATGGAGGGTGGTGAAGGGATGGCGGTGGCAAATGCTTGTGGTTTGGATGTAGAGCCAAATTGTAAGAAGGTGATTCAACCTGTAACGACCCCTTCGAGGGTAGTATTTCAGATGGTGTTTTGAAGGTGTATTGTCATTTTCACATTTGTGGTTTAGTTTGCTGGTGGAATGGGTGGGGGGCAAATCTTATAGTCTGCTGTTTTGAGGTCTTTCAGTTACAGTTAGAATGACATGGCAAGTTGATCACTTTTCAGAGAACAGAGGTAGCAGCTAACAGATCATTATTATTGTTAGTGCCTTAAAAATCCAATCTATGGAGTCCACTTTTTTGTAAAGTTCATTTTATTCATGAGAGGATGTGTGTGTGCGTGAGAGGTGGGGCACCCTTGATGGGTCAGGGCACAGTCTTTCCCTGTGGTAATCCCCTGTCCTCAGCCCTCTAGCTGGTCGTGGATCTTGGATGTGTGCAGACCCAGTGAGTTTTCAGGTAGACTGGGGCTCTGAACCTGCAGTTGGCCAAGTAGCTTCCTGCATTGCAGTTCGTTATGCTGCTGCCTGTCCCAAGGCTGGGTCCCAATGAACTTTCCAATGAAAGTTTGGTGAGGAAATCCGGAAGATCTGGATTTCAGTTTTTTTTTTTTTTTATTTTATTTAAATTACAGTTATTTCACAGTACAATTTGATAGAGAAACCCCTTTAAGGCTCCACAAAACCAGTAATTTGGTGATGAGCTGGTAAATATGTTTTATTTGATATGAACTGAAAATAATTATTCTGTAGGTTTTTAGATAAAAAGTTGATATTGTTTTACATTTTTGAAACAAAATGCTGGCTCCTCTTTACCTTTGTTCAAAGACATTGAACTATGTTTTCTCAAAGAGGAAAGATCTAATTGGTTGTTTACATTCTACTTCCATTTTAATCTGTCTTTCTGCTAAAATAGACTTAATTATGAAGTTACTGTGACATTTGTGGAAACTGGCCCACATTGGTGGTGGGAATGAAGTGCTGTGATGTTTTGCTCATCTGCTGGCCTGGGTGAAGGATGTAGGCTGCTTTACTGCCACACTGGCCTGGCTGTGGGGGCCTTTGATGTTGTTGTGGTCTCATCTGCTCACCCCTGTCATTTCCTCTTCCTAGTCTATTTCTTGACTTTGCAGTTTAGAGAGAAGGGTTGTTTTTCCAGGATCAGTAGCAAATAGGTAAAAAAAAAAAAAAGTAATCGGATGATCATAACCACAAATACAAACTGAGAGATTGGCTGCTTTTATGTAGCAAATCTTAAGAGTGAAAACTCTTAAATATTTCCTGCAATAGCAAAATTACCTGTTTTGGGGGGCTGTAAATCGTGGATTAAAAACTCCTCCAGTGCTCATTGTAACAATTACGGAGACAAGAAAGGATTTATTAAGCTGTCTTGAATTAGCCACTTTAGAATAAGTGATCTGTACATTTAGAGGCTGGCTTCTATGACTGGTCTTTGTAAGGGCTCCTTTAAGACGACATTTAGCCGAGGGCAGGGTAATAATTCTTTCCTAAGTAAATGTAGATAAGG